GTTCAAACACAGCAATGATTCTGAGGCTGGCACAAGACTGAGCAGCGCTTCATCCTATTGTACATAAGATCACTGTGAGTTGGCATCTAACAGCAATGTTCTTCCAATGAGAAAAAGAGATAACCTTAAAGAATGCACAAAATATAAGAGAACACATATTTTAGTACTCACTGCCATTGAGTCAATGCTGACTCAGAGTGACCCTATAGGACAGGGTAGAACTGCCCCTGTGAGTTTCCAAGACAGTCACTCTTCACCGGAGTAGAAAGTCCTCCCAAAGAGAGGCTGGTGGTTTCGAAGTGCTGACCTGTGGATCACACCCCCAATGCATCATCACTATGCCACCGGGGCTCCTTCTACATTAAAGTAGGAAACACAAAAAGTTTGAAAAAGGAGAAGTGGAAAAGAAAATGAAACAGAAGTTTGGGGTACACAATACGCTTAAGAATAAAGCTAAGCCCATCAAAATGGGCCACAAGAGAGGTCGCCCTGGACCCGAGCTCAGCTGTTCAGAACATTCCCAAAGCCAACGTGGGGTCTGTCGGCATGGTCTGTCTTATCTGTGCTCCATTTTCACCTTGTTCCCACTGACCTTCCTTCACCACTGGCTATTAACCCTTAGCAATTGTATCCCTCCATGATTTGATACAGAAGGTTGAAAAAATAATCAAATGAGGCATTTTTTATTACTTTTTTAAAGCTCTTTTTAATCTTATTTTATTTTAAACAAAAAGCAAGCAAGGAAACAAACCAAAAGTTGTTTGGCAGAATACAAATGTGATGGGTTTTAAACAGCCTTTACAAGGATGCTTGTAATTTATTGCAAGAGATCTGGAGGCGTAGGGGTTACCCATGGGCTGCTAAGCCAAGGTCTGAAGTTAGAAACCTCCAGCGGCTCCAGGGAGCCCATAAAGAATAAGAGTCTTGGAAACACAGAGTCAGTTCTGTCCAGTCCAATAGGGTTTCTGTGAGTCCGCATTGACTCGATTGCAGTGTGTGTGTATGTTTTCTTAGTTACTAGAAATCGCTGAGAGATGTATTTCTCTTGAATTTTTCTCTCAAAGAATCATAATGATGGAGAACTTGACACTTCTCAATGGATTCTAGGGAATGAAATCACTTTGGTAAAGTTTGTTCTTTCTGTTTGAGGTTGTAAATCATTTTCTGAAAAGTGTCTATGAAGAAGGCAAATTAAAAATTGAACAAATTATGAAGTTGCCGTTCCATTATTAATGCTTGCCTTTCCAAAATACCTAGTTCCAACCAAACTCACTACCAGTCTATGCTGTGGGTTTCTGCGACTGTAACTGTTTACAGGAGTAGAAAGTCTTTATTCCCAAGGAGCTGCTGGTGGTTTCGAACTGCCTGCCTTGCTGATCACTGTCCAAGGCATCACCACTCCACTAGCAGGGCTCCTGTTTAAAAATGTAAACTCTGGGCCTAGTAAGTAAGAGTCCCTGAGTTGTGGAAACAACTAACTTGTTAACTTGCTAACTGAAAGGTTAGGAGTTAAAGATCACTCAGATGTGCCTCAGAACAAAGGCCTGGTGATCTCGACTGGCACAAAAAACCACTCACTGAAAATCTTCTGGGACCCATGGGACTGCTAGGAGTTAGAGTCAATTCCATGGCAACTGGTTAATTGTTTAGCTTACAGTAACCCAGTTAATATCATCATATTGGCTCGTTGTACTGAAATGAACATAAAATAAATGCAATTT